ACCACATAATCATATCAATAGATGCTGAAAAAGCCTTTGACAAAATCCAGCATCCATTTCTGATAAAAATGCTCAGCAGTGTGGGAATAGAGGGATCATATCTAGACATAATAAAGGCCATATATGAAAGACCTACAGCCAACATCATACTCAGTGGGCAAAAACTAAAAGCATTTCCCTTAAGAACAGAAAAAAGGCAAGGATGCCCACTTTCGCCACTCCTATTTAACATAGTACTGGAAGTCTTAGCCACAGCAATCAGACAGGAAGAAAAAATAAAAGGGATCCAAATTGGAAAGGAGGAAGTGAAATTGTCATTATTTGCAGATGACATTATTCTGTACATAGAAAACCCCAAAGACTCCACCAAAAGCTTACTAGACTTAATAAATGAATTTGGCAAAGTAGCAGGATACAAAATTAACGTCAAGAAATCGATGGTATTCTTATACACCAATGATGAACTAACAGAAAGAAAAACTACGCAAAAAATCCCATTTACCATTGTGGCAAAAAAATTAAGATACCTAGGAATAAACTTAACCAAAGAAGTAAAGGACCTATTTGCAGAAAACTACAGGTCTTTGAAAAAAGAAATAGAGCAAGATGTGAAAAAGTGGAAGCACATACCCTGTTCATGGATTGGGAGAATTAACATCATTAAAATGTCCATATTACCCAAAGCAATCTATAGATTCAACACAATCCCCATCAAAATACCAACGACATACTTCACAGAATTAGAACTATTACTTCAAAAGTTCATTTGGAACCAAAAAAGGCCTCGAATTGCCACAGCAATCTTGAAAAGGAAGAACAAAGTTGGAGGGATCACAATACCAGATTTCAGGTTATACTACAAAGCCACCGTAATGAAAACAGCCTGGTACTGGGACAAGAACAGGTATGTAGACCAGTGGAACAGAATAGAGAACCCAGAAATGGACCCAAGGCAATATGCTCAATTAATATTTGACAAAGGTGGCAAGAGCATACAGTGGAGTAAGGACAGCCTCTTTAATAAACGGTGCTGGGAAAATTGGACAGCTACTTGCCGAAAAATGAAACTAGACCATCAACTTACACCCTACACCAAAATAAACTCAAAATGGATAAAAGACTTAAATGTAACTCATGAATCCATAAAAATCCTGGAGGAGACTGTGGGGAACAAAATCTCAGACATCATACGCAGCAGAATTTTTACTGGCACATCACCTAAGGCAATAGAAACAAAGGAGAAAATGAACACATGGGACTACATCAAACTCAAAAGCTTCTTCACAGCGAAAGATACAATCATCAAAACGGAAAGGCTACCCACTGTATGGGAGAGCATAATTGCCAATGATATATCAGATAAGGGGTTAATTTCCAATACATATAGAGTTCTCATACAACTCCACAAAAGGAAGACAAAGAATCCAATTAAAAAATGGGCAGAGGAACTAAATAGACACCTCTCCAAACAGGACATACAAATGGCTAAGAGACATATGAAGAAATGTTCATCATCACTAATCATCAGAGAGATGCAAATCAAAACAACAATGAGGTATCACCTCACACCTGTCAGAATGGCCGCCATCAACAAATCATCAAACAACAAGTGTTGGCGAGGGTGTGGAGAAAAGGGGACTCTAGTACACTGCTGGTGGGAATACAGACTGGTGCAGCCACTATGGAAAACAATATGGTGTCACCTCAAAAAATTAAAAATTGATATTCCATTTGACCCAGTGATCCCACTTCTAGGAATACACCCTAAGAAGCATAAAACACCAATAAGAAAGAATATATGTACCCCCATCTTTGTAGCAGCACTATTTACAATCGCTAAGATCTGGAAACAGCCCAAGTGCCCATCAGTAGCCAAATGGATCAAAAAGCTGTGGTACAGCCCTGGCCAGTTTGGCTCAGCGGTTATAGAGTGTCGGCCTGCGGTCCAGAGAAAAAGTTGTGGTACATATACACAATGGAGTGCTACGCAGCGGTACGAAAGAAAGATCTCTTATCCTTTGAGACTACATGCAGGGACCTGGAAAGTATCATCCTAAGTGAAACAAGCCAAACAGAGAAAGATAATTTTCATATGATCTCACTGATTTGTGGAATATAATGAACATAACAGTTTGAGGAATGGGGTAGTCCCAGCGACGAGGAAGCTGGGTACAGACTGAGAATCCCCTAAGGAGTGGGGAGGTGGGGGAGGGATGAACCACAGAACTTATACGCATGTATGCATGAACAGTGGACATGGACAACAATCTGGGGAAGGGACAGGGATGGAAGGGGGAGGGGGGAATCAGTGGGGGAAAGAAGGAGAATCATCTGTAACAAAAATTAATCAATAAAAAATAAAATTAAATTAAAAAAAAGAGAAAGAATTGGAATTTTTAGTAAGCATGCTACCCAAAAAGTTTCCATGGTCAACATTTTTTTTTGTTCAAACAAACTCATTTATCACTGAAGGCCTTTCTTATGTTCAGTATGGAGGGAATGCCTCAAAGAGGGTCCATAGTTTGCAGTGATCTTTGGTTCACATAATTATATAATTTTTGTGTGTGTAAAAGTCTCCTTTTTGAACCAGTGTTTCTTGATGCAGACACACTGATCAAAATCTACTCTTTTTTTTTTTTTTTTGCAGCTGAGAAAACAAGCACAGGGAGGTGATGGGTCCTGGGTCCCAGAGAGTTGACAATGTCTTTAGACCCAAGTTTTTTGACTCCAGTTTTCTTGTCAAGTTCAAAATATAAAAAGCTGATAGTAAGTGATGGGAATTGGGGCAATTTCTATGGAGGTGTTTAACCTGGGGCAGGTAGCTGTGATTGATACTGTACCTTGGTAGCTTTTCTGTATAGCTGAAATTAGACCTGAATAATGAGAGATAATAGATTACATGGTGAAAGTAGCAACCCAGCTGGCTTTGTTTTGATGATGACTATGTATGTAGATTACCTTTTCTCCCTGAGACCAATTTCTCCAATGACAGCCTGGTTTCTAGCAGGGATAATGGGAGGAGGGTTGAATGGATTAATCTAGGAGCTTGAAGCAATTGCCTCTATTTGCCATAGTTTGAGCATGCAGATAGTAAGAATTCCTACGTAGTTGAAAAAAAATGGTATGAAAGGTTATGAATCAATGATGGAATGTCACTCAAAGAGGAAGCTATCAGAGTTAAAATTAATAGAGGAATATCGCCAAGAGCTCTTTCCAGGAGAGTAAAAAGTCCTTCTTATATTGCTTCTTTTTCCTTGGCTATTCTCTTGAGCAGGGATTTAAAAACTATAGTTCTTAATTTATTATATTCTTTTCCAGGTATAGACATAACCCTATGTATGGATTTCTCAGATTCATTTCAATCTTTACATTAAAGTTAACTGGGAACTTATTGGTGATTCCATGTCAGATAATAGCATATAACCCTACTCATATTTTCTACTGTGATAGAAGCATCAAATATAGGTGCCAGTATCTAACTTATTATATTGTGTGTCATAATGCTCTCAAAAAATTGTGGATAGGACTGAGACATATATTAAAACCATACAATTAGCCCATAGGACCAGCCTAATGATATAGTCTAAAAATTTTTTTGTGGTAGTTCTGTTACCAGATAGTCCCCTGAGTCAGAGGAAGAGGGCTGTCCCCTTCTTAGCCTTTGTCAACTTCATAAGAAAGATTTCAAATGAGTGACAGACAGCAGTGTTGTAGCAAAGGAAGCAATTGATTAAGGAAGCAAGGCAAGTAAATTTTAAAAATACACTTGGCATAAAGCACAAATGGGCCACTTGGCTTGTCTGAGCACATGCCCAGTGGGAGTCAAGGTGTTTTATACCCTTCTTCCTATAGGTTTCAAGGTTCCTTTGCTGGATATCTTGGGTAGCAGATTAGGTTTCAAAGTCCCTTTTTACATTGTTTCATCTTGTTTGGCAAGTCCTAACATGGCTGACTTCTCTGTTTGGTGGTGAGATAAACTCCATTTTTTCACTTCCCCCTTTTCTGTTATAGCAGCCCTTAGGTAATATTTGTCCTTGGGTTTAGCTGGGGTTTTTTGTTCTCAATTTTCCTGGGCCAGGGTGACTTAGCTATGTATTCTCTGATTAGGGAGTAGAGGTATTAACCATTTGTTCTCAGGTGTCCTTGGTTGAGGAAGATAAGGTCTTGTGTTTCACCAGCTTGCTGCAAGCTACCCAAACTGTTTGGCCTTGTTCAATTTTCTTATCTCACCCAGGAATTTCCCTAGCTTCTTACTATTCTGCCACAGTTCTTCAGAAACTTGAAAATTAGGAGATAAACACGTATGCATCCCCCTTTTGTCTTTATAATTGTTATGGACCCAAATTTGCATACTCATCCTCTTAATTTTCCTTAAAAATTCCTGTTAAGGTTCAGGGGATCTACATATTTAATATCCATGGTATAAAGCAGTTCTTGGTATAAATCTCAATACTGCACTCTACTTGAGGTACTCCATATGCACTTTCTTTAAACCTGGTGTCTTAGGGTTTCCTCACAGCAGAGTTTGCAGCTGGGATTTTTGTACAATTGATTAACTGAGAGAATGATCTCTAGTGAACACTGTAAGGAAGGGAGGGCAGGAGGATAGCATAGAGGATAAACTAAGTAAGATGTGGTTTCAGCTGAAGTCTAGCCTCAGCTGGGGAGATCTGGAGCAAGAACACCACCACAGAATTGACCTCCATTGAGGCTAGGGAGGCTTTTTTATTCCTGTATCTGTCCGTTAATGGTTTGAGGTTGCCCTGGGGGAAAGTGTAACCTCTCAGTCATTTCTGGCTACCACAGCAGTTCTCTGAAGAGGATGCAGTAGTTAGCAAATGGTGTGTTGGCCCAGTAAAGGGAATCTATTATTTCTAGGCCGACTGATTGTCCTGATTCCCTACTATCCTTATTATTGTGCTAACTTTAGCTTAACTGCCTAGAAAGAACCATAAAGACATCATATATTGTACTCCCTTGAGTTAAAAAAATACAACTCAGTGCTCACTTTGGCAGAACATGTACTTAAATTGGAACATATAGAGAAGATTAGCATAGCTCCTGTGTAAGGATAACATGCAAATTCAGTAAGTGTTCCATATATTTTTAAAAAGCCAGCTCTATCAGCCCATGGAACAAAGAGTCCTGGGTTGGGTTTGATTCCAGCCAAGGGCATGTACCTTGGTTGCAGCTCATCCCCAGCCCTGGTTGTGGTCGTGCAGGTGGCAACCAATTGATGTGTCTCTCTCACATAAATGTTTCTCTCTTTCTCTCCCTTCCACTCTGTCTGAAGACAAATGTAAAAAAATATCCTTGGATGAGGATTAAAAAAAAAAACAACAGCCCTTGGTATTCAGCACCCTCCTATACCCTGCTATGTAACTCAAATATCAATTAGAGTTCTTAACTTTCCCAAAATTCACCCTCACATCTTCAAGCCTTGACCCTTATATCTTTTCTGGTTTTCTCTTTCTTCCATTGACAAATGTTTCTACTCAACACACACCCAGTGGTGGTCCTGGGAGAGAAGTATAATAGTTATCTAGAACTGTGTAATAAGTTACTCTAAAATTTAGTGGCTTAAAACAACAATAAACTTCTTTTTTTTATAGTTTTAGTAGGTTTGGCTGAATTATTTGGCTCAAGATTTTGTTTTGATTTTTTCTTTTAGTGAGTTTTATTCACATGTTAGCTGGGGCTACAGTCATTTAAAAGCTTGATTGGAGATAGAGTATTGCTTCAAAGGTGGACTGGTCATATGGCTAGCAAGTTGGTGCTGGTTGTTGGTGGGAGACCTCCATTACTCCCCATGTGGTCCTCTTCACAGGGCTGCTTGAGTGCCTTCACAGCATGGCAACTAACCTCCACAGAAACAGTGATCCAAGAGAACAAGACAATGGTGACAATAACCTTTATGGCCTATCTTCAGAATTCACACATAGTTTTCTTCATCATTTGGCCACACAGTCCATCTCTGATTCAGTGTGGGAGGGGACTTCACATGGTGTGAAAGAGGTAAGAATTACTTAGGATCATCCTGGATGCTGGCTAGTACAAAGTAGTATATTCTTATAATCAGTCTCAATATTTTCCTGCTTGTTGGCAAGAATATGGTGACTACTCACCTCTCTACCATAATTTCTTCTTTACATATCCTTGATACTTCTCAAGACCTTTACTTGAATTAGGTCATGTAGGTTGTGAAACGATAGTATGCAGTTAGATAGGCACAGGCAGAATAGGAACAATGGACTGGGTACAGATGGTCACCAGGGCAGAGAGCTCTGGGCAACTAGCCATGGGAAAAACTATAAACCTTTGTAGATGACACAAGCAATGTTTTCACACTCTGCATTAATAGTCTTTCCTATAAATTACTTGGTGTCAAGAAACCCAAATACCCTGGATTCAGTTTGGCCAATGCCAAGCACCTAGGCTCCTCCTTTGAGAACTAGGTTCCCAATAGTGAATGCACAGAAAACCAACACAGGTGGTTATGGTGCAACTCAACTTCATCATGCAGGTATAACTCAAGGTATTCAATAATAAGAGCATCAATAGCCTCAATCAATTCATCACACAATACTCTCATATAGCATTAACAAAGTCTCTAGGTCTAAACAGTCCCAAGGATCCTCCATCTCCTCAGGCATGGGTGAGCACTGAGTCAGATAGGGAGTAACAACTGAGTCCCAAGAGTTCTCCTCAAATTGTCCGGATCTGGGTGAGCTGTGCCTCTTGTTGCTGGTCCAGCTCCTAGACTTGCAAGAGAGTCCTCAGACAGTCTCTACATAGGGGCTATGGACTTTTGGAGTGCCCGAAGTTCATTGCTAATACCTGAGGCAGTGAAGCCCCAGAAGTTCAACTGCCACCTCACCAAACACACAGGTATGGCAGACTGCAAAGTCCTCCTCAACTGCCTTTGCTTGTACAGTTCTTGGTGGTTTTCGCAAGTCATTTATTTTGCAGGGTCCACAGTGTTTCAAGTAAACATGTTTACCAGGTCATATTCAAGATGGACTCACTGATGTCAACCTGACATAGTATACTTCACATTCCACCCCCTGATTCTCTCTCTCTCTCTCTCTCTCTCTCTCTCTTTATCTCTATCATCTCTATCTCTAGCTAATCTGTCTATATCTATATCTATATCTATATCTATATCTATATCTATATCTATATCTATATCTATCTATATCTATATCATCTATATCTATATCTATACATAATCTATCTATATCTTCTATATCTATATCATCTATACCTATATTTATCTATAATCTATAGCTTTATAATCTCTATCTTTCTCTTTCATCTATCTATATCTATATATCTATATCTATGTATATGTGGAATCATTTTAGAAGTATAACATTTTTTATAATGTCCATTGATGCATTGTATGTTATCTCTTTTGCAAAATGTAATGGGTGGTAATATCCTGTGATGCATCCTAAAGAGTGAACAGGTTCATAGTGTTTACATTTATCATTTATTGGTTTCATAGAATAAGTTATTATATTTACTTGTTCTTATCATTTATATGCATATAGTATAGCAGGCGTTCCTGTATTAACAGAATTATATCAAATACTTTCATTAAAGTATGATTGGATAGAGGGGCTGAAAAAATGGGGGCGGAGTGAACGGAGCTACACAGACCAACTCCCAGAACTAAACTGGAATTACAACTATAACACAGACAAATTGACGGGAAAAAGCAACAGAAAAGCAGCTTGCGAGGAACATATAATGAGGGCCACTGACTCCATCCTGGTAGGCTTGCGAAGGCGCGAGACGAGGGCTGGGAGCCCACTGTTGGCTGCTCGGCAGCGGCCGTAGCTGGGAGAAGCACCCTCGGGTTACACTCCCAGGCGGCTCCACAGCGCACAGCTGGGACAGAGGCTAAAACAGCCACAGCCACTTACCTTGGGCTCCGGCAGAGGGAGGGCAGACTGGACTAGAACTGTGTGGGGACACTCAGGATTTGTAGGGCACCTAGAGCATTTGTGGAGTGCCAGCCTCCCAGGACGGTGGCCACATTGCTCCTTCCCAGGGGTCTGAGGAGAGGCAACAGCCCCTCCCTCGGAGATCCAACCCCACCCTGTGGGCCATTGAAGTGCTAATTGAGGCTCATTAACAACCAGCATCTGCCCCACCATCCTGAAAGCCCCTTGTGCTAAGCACCTGAGGGAGTTTTTCAATCAACTGACAACCCAAAACTCTTCAAGTAACCTGGAATGCTAGCCTCAGGCAAAAGCTAGAGGATAACAGTACCTTTCCTGGGCTGGCAACTTTAACAAGGAAAGTAAGACTTGACAGTGGTGTTTAACCTGGGTCCTACCTCGCTAATCTAAACATAGGAGACGGAGCCACAAACAGCAGAACACCAACACCCACAGGGAAAACTTGACAGGCTCCAAAGCCCACAGTGATAGTAAAAATGGTGAAACACAGAAACAGAAGCCAAATGAAAGAGCAAGAGACCTCCACTAAAGATGAGATCAATGTGGACCAAAAAGGCATGTTAACAGAGCTAGAATTCAGAGCCATGATCTTGAGGAAGCTGAACAGCATGAGTAAGGACATAGAGACACTGAAAATAAGCCAACTGGAAATTAAAAACCATCAAGAAGAGATAAAAAATGACATATCAGAAATGAAAAACACACTGGAAGGTTTAAAAAGCAGAGTAGAGGAAGCTGAGGACCGGATCAGGGAATAAGAAGACAGGGTAGAAAAAATCAACCAATCAGAAAAACAAAAGGAAAAAACTATTAAAAAACAGGAAGACAGCTTAAGAGAACTGTGGGACAACTAGAAACGTAATAATATTCACATCATAGGAGTCCCCGAAGAAGAAGAAGAAAATGAGCAAGGGATAGAGAATATATTAAAAAAAATAGTGACAGAAAACTTCCTTAATTTTGGTGAAGGAAGAAGGCATTCAAGTTCAAGAAGCACAGAGAGTCCCAAGTACGAAGAAACCAAACAGGCCCACACCAAGACACATAGTAATTAAAATGCCACAAATTAAAGACAAAGAGAGAATCCTAAAAGCGGCAAGAGAAAAGCAACAGGTTACCTACAAAGGGAACCCCATAAGGCTCTCAGCTGGCTTCTCACAAGAAACACTACAGGCCAGAAGGGAATGGCATGAAGTAATCAAAGTCATGAAAAACAAAAATCTGAATCCAAGACTACTCTACCCAGCAAGGCTATCGTTCAAAATAAAAGGTCAAATAAAGAGCTTCCCAGACCAAAAAAAAAGGCTAAGGGAATACATTAGCACCAAACCAGCACTGCAAAAAATGTTAAAAGGACTGCTGTAATTAGCAGTAGAAATGGGAAGAAAAATGGAACCACACTAAACAAAAATGGCAATAAATAAGTACATATCAATAATCACCTTAAATGTAAATGGATTGAATGCTCCCATAAAAAGACACAGGGTAGCTGATTAGATAAGAAAGCATGACTCATCTATATGTTGTTTACAAGAGACCCACCTCACAACGAAAGACTCACATAGGTTGAAAGTGAAGGGATGGAAAAAAATTTTCCAAGCAAATGGAAAGCAAAAAAAAGCTGGGGTAGCAATTCTCATATCTGATAAAATAGATTTCAAAACGAAGACCATAACTAGAGACAAAGAAGGCCACTACATAATATTGAAAGTATCTATCCAACAGGAAGATATAACCTTGATAAACATATATGCACCCAATATAGGAGCACCAAAATATATTAAAAATCTTCTGGAGGACTTCCAAGGAGAAATCAACAACAATACAATTCTAGCAGGGGACTTCAACACCCCGTTGACAGCACTGGATAGATCCCCTAGGCAAAAAATTAGCCAGGAAACAGAGACTCTAAATGAAGCACTAGACCAAATGGATTTAATAGATATCTACAGAGAATTACACCCCAAAACTACAGAATACACATTCTTCTCAAGTGCACATGGGACATTCTCAAAGATAGACCACATGATAGGACACAAACTAAATCTCTACAAGTTCAAAAAGATTGAAATCATATCAATCATCTTCTCAGATCACAATGGTATGAAACTAGAAATCAATTGCAACAAGAACATGCAA